AATTTTACCTGTATACTCCTTTAGGCTTAGATAGACTGCATACAACTTTTTTGTTGAAATTACGACTTTAAAGTATAGAGCACCACAAAGGGTTAAAAGGTGACTGGCATTTTTAGGGAACCCAGTCGCCAAATCCTGGACGGTTATTCTACACTGTGAGAGTCGACAGCAAGTTGTGGGCCGCCAGATGTCGTTGCTAGTGAAAAACAGGACTGGCCGACATCCTATATTCTCCGAGTATGGAAGTTGTCAAAAGTGCATGAAAAAGTGTTGCCACGTAATCAATCAGGGTTGTGGAGCTGAAATGTAGTGTATTCCGCCAACTCAGCTTCATTACTTAGCACTGCTTTGACCACGTCCAATCTTGGACCACTGCATTATAATAGTCTTCAAATTTTTCTAAGTTCACCCCTTGAGGACCAGCATGTGAAGAACAAAGCACAGCCATGGGACTGAACACAAATGGAACGTCACCACCAGCCCACGCATTTTCGGCAGTTAAGCCTACTTGTACAAACAAAATTCATATAAAATCAGCATTTTAATTATAATAACCTAAATTACGCACTTAATATACTAATTCTTAATATGTATTAATATAGAGAATATCACATTAATAGAAATAAATTAAACCTGCAAAATACTAAAATTATATAACTACAGTACAAAGTTCGACATCCATTATCCGGAATGATGTAAAATCTGGACCTCAAAGCTGCAACCTTTATTTTTTTTTTTTTTTATTTTTTTTTTTTTTTTTTTTTTTTTTTTTTCTTTTTGTTTTGTATGCTTTACGTATGTGCATTTGATTTTTCCTTCCATAATAAAACATATGGAGATTTTCACTTAAAAAAATCCGATTCTTAATTTCACTTAGGCACTATATAAAATACCTCGTTATGGAAAAACAATCCTGTAAGCATAAATTTGTGAGATTAATAATTTGGCTCCGTAGCTGAGTGTCTGCTTTGCATACATCTCAAACGTTCCATTTACTGCTGTTCGCCGTGCTTACTGAAACATTCAACTATTTTATATCCGTGACGCCGACCTGGCAATTCATTATTTATTATATTTTGCTTTCACCACCACGTTTATCAATACATGACAGCTTCAGTAATAACTCATGCAGTGATGTCTAAACTTTTTTTATATATTAGTAATTCAATAACAAGAGTCTGGCAACCTTTTATGCTAACATTACGCTTGGTGATGATTATAGATTTTTAAATGCTCTAAGAAATGTTGACGAGAAAAAATTCACCAAAAACTTCATATGCTAAAAATAGATTTTGTTAATGAAACTCATAGGCCAAAAGATTACATTTAGTGCTATTTTAATTAAGATGATATGTTATTCACCACAAACCTAGAAGCGGCGGCAGAATTTAGGGAAGATGAAATTTTTGGAATTTGGGGAAGCACCGAGCAGCAAAATTAAGGGATGAGAAGTTTATGATTTAGGGAAAGCACTGCAATGCAAAGTTTAGGTATGGTGAAAATTTAGAACTTAGGAAAGTACTTTGTAGCAGAATTTAGAACACTAGAGACTGCACCATGCGGTATTTAGCGCTGGCCATAGATAAAGCATTAAGTATATGTGGGAGTTTATTTTTTCAGGACCCGGATTAGTTTTAAGCATGTGCAAGAAATAAACATAGGTATAGTAAATAACTAATACAATTCAGGCTTAATTCAGTACGCTACAGGGCAAGTAAGATGCATCATACATTAGATGCACTTATCCATATTCTAATAACGAAAAAACCCAAAGAATAAAAACAAGGACAACAAAAAACCAAAATTCCCAACGAAATAAACAAACACACCAGTATCCCTTTAACTTAACGAACTGTGATTCCCAGTTTGTTTGCACCAATAAATATATGAAAACCAAAAGCAGAGAACAGAATCTGATGGTTATACATGAAAGTTCCTTGGTAAATTGGTTAAGCCACATGACTTAACCAATGTAAAAAACGTTTCCATTTAGTACCATCTACTGGCATTTAAAAATGTTTTACAAAAATCCCTTTGTTTTCAAGTTACGCATATGCGATGCTGGGCTGAAGAGATTGATTGGAGCTCTTCGCGTGCAAGCAACATTGGGCTGGTAAGAGTGGAATCGTTGTGTCACACCTACACGATGTTGGTCCTGAACGGATTTTGTGTGTGTGTGGTTGAAAGCAATCTCTTTCAGCCGTGTCTTTATTGGCCGGTAATATAGCCCAATCAAAAATACATCATCATTTTTTCTGGTGATGGGTTAATGATTGGGTCCTTTGAAAGTGATCCAATACAGCCATTTCCAATTCTATACTAGACTTCGCAGGGATCAGTTAATTCCTAAAGCATCTAATTTTCATAAATTCTCTAAATTATTGCTGTGGATTAGCATACTGGTTATCAAAGATGAAGTACTTTGAGATACAATGCAGTTGTTTATCTTGCCCATAACAATCCAGCCAAGTAGTGTCTATACTGCAACAAGACCAGATTAGTGAAAGATATTCCAAGTGTAAAGACTCAGCATAGTGAGCACCAATTAAATGTTCTATAGGTAGTGACTCTTTTTCTTTCATCGGCAGGACTGATACCTTTATCTCATAACTCAACCGGTCGAGGTCCTTCTTGAGCATGTGCTTGCTGGTACAGAACTTTGATTACACAAGCAAAATTCTTTTAATTACTCAGTGTTGCTTTATGGCATTTACATTGCTTTCTAGAGGTAACTCATCATCATGAATTCTACTGAACTGACTGCAAAATGCCAACCAGTCTTTCACTTCATTGCTAAATTTAACTAATTCTATTTAGGGGATATTTAATTTTTTTTCCAGTATTCATCGCCAGCAGTTCACAAAAATTGAAAGTTTATCAAGACTTGTTTTAGTATGAATATGAGCTATATCGAATTTTTATTGATATTCTTCAATTTTCTCGTATTCAACATCAAAATATTTAGATTTGGCTTCTATTAAAGCAGTACAAATTTCATCATCTAATTCAGACAAATCTGTAGAAATTCACTCTAAAGAAGAAAATTTAACTTCAGTTTCTTCACGTTTTAATTCTGGTTCATTTAAAGACGCTATTGACGAATTGTAGCACTTCATGAACGTTGCTCTAACAGGTGTTCTTCTTTTAATAATATTTTTTATATAGATAAAATCTGAAGCCAATAAAGTCAATACAGTGGAAGTTCAGAAATCCGCAAAGCTTGGGACCAGGGGTTGTGCAGATTTTAGGATTTTGCGGATTTCACGATTGAAAAGATAAAGCATAATATTCAGACTAAAAGTGCAAAATAAATAAGGCGTATTAGATACATTTAATCAAATTATTATATACATTACAGTAATAATTTATTATATTTATTAAATTATTATTACATATATAAATTGATTATAATATTCATTGTATTATATGTACACAGCGTCGAGGTTTGCCAATTTCGCCTCATGCAAAGATTTCCGGTTTTAGATTCCTGTGTTAGAATTACTGTTGCTGTAAAACTTCAACAGCTTTTCTTTATTTTTCCATAAATCATACACAATGGTGTTGCAATTGCATACAATTCTGCTATAAACTGAGGAGTAGCAATTGCCTCCATCTTATGCAGAATTTGCACTTTTTGCATTAAAGTCAATACAACTTGTTTACATTTTTTAACGTTGCAAGCAGTAAAATAATGAATGCATTTCTTATCTGTCATTGTATTAAAAAGAACTGAAATTTAAAATATTCTTAAATTATCCACAAAATATCTGGATAAAAAAAAAGGCAGCACTAAACAATCTCGTGAAATAACAAAGCTAAGAAAATACAACAAAGTGAATCGTGAAAGAAGAGTCGAGTGAATTTTCTGCTTTTTTACCTCTATGCAGATTAGAGGAGAAAAAAAATTTATCAGGATGTCACTAAGTTGGTATTTCCATTATAACTCATTATTATTCGTTAATTATGACATCATTATTCGGTAAGTATTTTTTCTTCGATATTTTGTACTCAATGTTGCGGTTTTCGGAACCTACAAACTGAATGTTTATATTTTGAGAGGGAACGCGAATTTCAGGAGTTGGCGGATTTTAGGTATTTGACTGTATTAGCAAATTCACTGATTTTCATCTTTACACGTCACATCCATACATCACCACAATGTTGAGAATGGATAGATTGCCAATCTACTTTCTCCTTAGGATTTTAAGATTTGCATTGTGACTACCTAAAGGTGATTTAATTATATGACACACAGACCCAAGGCAAACATCCTGATTAAATTGTGATGTCACACTTACCTATTACTGGTGCTAAATTGCAATGTTTGATGACAGTTTTTGTTTATTCTGAATCACAGCCCTATATGTGCTTTCTGATAGTTTTGCAAGTTTCACCATTTACTTAGTCATTCAAAAAGAGTTTCTAAAAATTTTATATATTCCATTTATTTGAGCTTTCTAATTAGCTGAATGCTAGCTAGTTAGGCTTCTATTCTGTTACATTAATAACCCCTTTTGATCTATGGTATGAGATAGTATCTATATACCTATCTATATATAAAGTCTATATACCATTTCCCAAAGCTAAATTCTAATTCTGTTTTAGTGACATTTTACTTTTGACAAAGCAACTGCTTTTTTACTCACCTTAATATGATATATCGTTACTTTAAAAGACTGTACCCTACTCTACTCCACCATTTCCTACCTTTGATAACTTTGCACAATCAAAACAGAGAACCAAGGTCCCAGGTATCCAAATCAATAATCTTCACTACCACATCATTCTTTGAGTTACCTTGGTGCCACTGAATTACCAGTTAATATGCATGCACCAAATATAAAAATACATATTCTCAAGAGCTTTCATATTGTTTAATAATAATTCATATTGTTTAATAAATAGATAAGAATGGATTTTAGTATGGATACTTTATCATACAAAAGTTTTCATGTTATGCATTTAACAACAAATATGTTTAAACAAATTGACATAATTACCATGAGGTACATTCAGATGGCTTAGTTCTCGTCTCAGTACTTCATAAGATATTAGAATGATATCGTGATCAGCCAGGTCCTGAGGATTTATAAACTTATGCTGGTCAACACCACGGTACACAAAAACTTTTAATGTATTTTCTTTTATGTGCTTGGCTATTTCTTGCCGCCACTGATACAGAATTGAAGCAGGGCTTATGATAACAGTACCACGAGATAGTAAGAGTTCCTACATTTTAAAAAATAAATTAATTAAAAGCAAATTGAAGCCATAACATACATAAAGAATTATTTGCTATATAAGACATTCTTATAATTTGCTCCATATATATATGTAAGATAAAAAATATGTACATCAAATTTATAATTTATAATAAAGAGAATTAAAGAGTTACTAGCAGTAACTCTTTAATTCTCTTTTTCGGTTCTAAAAATCATAATACCTTCTCTCAACTGTGTCATTTCTAGATCTTTCCTTTTTGCATGGCCTGCGCAGCGCTGATGACATAATAATTGGAAACTGGAACTTTTTAACTCAAACCAAAACCTTTCTCTTTGTATGCTTCCATCTTGCATAACTACGCACTTCAGCTTCTTTAGATGCATCAACAAATACATGACATGGGTATTTTGGATTAAATAAAGTTAAGATAGGCCTAGAAATTATTGCATCTTTTAATTTTTGAAAAGCTATTTTAGATTTATCAGTCCATTTATAGAGGGTATCATTTTTAAGTAAATTTGTTAAAAGAGCTCTAAATTTTGCATAATTTTCAACAAATTTATGATATACATTAATACTTCCTCAAAATCTTTGCAATTCTTTAACATTTTAGGGGGAGTGCAATTTCTTAATTACTCCTATATTTGCATTACTGGACTGGTTTTTACCTGCTTGAATTTCATACGCTAGAAAATTTATTTTTTCTTTTGCAAAATTAAATTTAGATTGTTTTAATTTTATATTTTCTTTCTCACATATATCAAATATTATCTGAAGATGGTTTAAATGTTCATCAAAATTTGGAGAAAATTATAATATTATCAAAATAATTTAAAGCAAAGTGAATCTGATATTTGTTTAAGATTTGTCTATGAACTATTTGAAAAACAGCTGGAAAATTCTTCTAACCAAAAGGTAGTCTAGTAAATTCATAAAGTCCAAAATTTGTAGTAAATGCTAACTTTTCAGTATCTTTTTCATTCAATTTGATATGCCAATAACCTGACACTAAATCCAATGTGGAGTAAAAGTTTTCATTTGTTAATTGAGCCAATACAATGTCAATTCTAGGGATTGGTTCAGAATCTGTTTTTGTAATTTGATTAAGTTTTCTTTAATCAATACACAATCTGGTTTTTGCCTGATCATCTTTCTTATAAGCCAAAGTTACAGGTGTAGCATAAGAACAAGGTTTAATTATACCAGCGTTTAACAACTCATCTATTTGTTTCTTAATTTCACTATTGTCTTTAAGGGATGCTCGATATGGTCTATAGGCTATTGGTAATTCAGAAGTTAACACAGCTCTAGAGGGTTCAAAATTAACAACCAACATCATATTTACTTTTAGCAAATATATGATTATAACTATTCAGCAATTTTTGTAAGTTACCATCACAATTCTTACTACTTTCAAAATAATTAGCAGATTTTTTTAGTAGTAATATCCCTTTCACATACAAAATTTCCACTATTTTCAAAATATTTACCGGATTTTTTTTAGTATTTATATCACTTTTACAGACAAAATTATTTTGAAAAAAACTTATCTAACATTTTTACTCATCTGGTATTCGAACTGGTAGACTTGATAATTATAAAAATCCAGTTCTAATTTGAACAGTGAAACACGGGATGAGGACAATAATAAATAATCTAAACTAGAATTCACACAAAATATTACATCATTAGTGAGTTTACCTATTTTACATGGTATTTTAATAATTTTCACCACAGAAATCTGATTAAGTAAAGAAAATACCTTGTTTATTTGCAATAATTTCTGCTTGAGTAGCATTATTAGTTAAAATGTTGTAAGGAATAGCATTTATTTACCTAGGAACCTGTGTTGATAATGGATGGTACATTTTGTTGTCAAATTTGGACATTAACCCTCTGAGCGTTATGACCAGCTTTATCCAGTCTTCAGATGTTTTGCTACTTGGCATATATTAGCTTATAATTTAAGATATTTTCTTTCTTACTTTCTTTAATAATGCAAATATCATCTTAAGGAATGTTTATGAAAATACAGACTAAAATAAGTAATTATACAAATTCAATTAATAAATATCGGTGTTCATGACGGATCTAAAATCCTGCGCCACTCAGAGGGTTAAAATAGACTCATTTTATCTGTTCAGATTTTCGCACATAACTTAAAGAAGGAACTGGTTGATAATTAAGTGGCCTGTATGGATACTGGAAAGTTTGCAGCCGCATACTTCTGAAATTTTGATACTGATATTGATGTGGTTGCTATAGTAGCTAGGTGGATTTTGTCTAAGTGTAATAAATTGTTGACTACTACTTGTAGTTGGTACGTCCTCCAGTGCAACTGGTACAGGGAACAGTTTTCGTGTTATTTCTATCCAGTCTTCAGGGGTTTTAATGTTCTGCACAGTTAACAGCATCCTTTGGGCTTCTGAAAGGCCTTGGTTAAGTGCTTCAACCAATATTTTACCACTGAATTTCAAGCTGGATCCATATGGTAATTTTGCACAAAAATATTTATCAATATTAGGATATTTATCATACGTAATAGCTATAAAGTCATTAATTATTAAGGTCACCATTGCAATTTCAATTTTTTCTGTAGATTTAGTATGGAATCTTGTCTCCATGATTAATTTTTACTTTTCCTGAAGAATTTGCACCAATACTTAAAAAAATTTTTTGAACCACCAATCTTGACTATTGAATCATTTATCAAATACTGAAATTTCTGAAAAATTTATAAAATACTGCACATTCTTTCTGAAGAAATTACTTTAAATAAAACACTTTTCCATATTTCACTGATCACATGAGATACCATACACACCATATTTGAAGATTTAACAGCATATCATGGCATTTTTATTTATTTATTCAGAACTCTGACAAAGCAGAATTAGAGCAGTTTCTAATTGAAGAATGTTTTAAATATTTATTACTACCTTGTATGTAAATATTTATTGCCACCCCGTAGAGCTACTAAAAATATTAAGTATTTATTACCAGCATGTAAAGCTAGTATGCCTCCACTCCCCCCCACACACACACAAAAAAAAGATCAAACAATTTTGATGCCAAATATATTCCTACACATTTTATTTGCTTCATTTTTTTAACAGTTCTTATATTTGCATCTCCAGGATGAAGATGTTGATTTCAAAGAGAGAAATTTTTACTTCAGCTAAGAAACAACAGTTTCAAAGAGACAAATTTATGACAGGTGTGACTTTAAGCAATACAGAAATTTGTGTATCCAATCTGCAAACATGGCAACTGCAGCAAAATATAATTCTATCTTCAGTTCTAAAAGTGTTAAAATAATGTAAGTAAATAAAATAACTTGCACTTCACAAATACATAAACATAGATACTGAAATTTAATATGTTTTTTTTTTTTTTTTTTTAATTACCAATTCCATTTGTACATAAATGCTTAGAAACTAAATTTTACACATCTTGATACATGTCAAACTTTTCCTAACATAGTACCTAAAAATTAAGCAAAATAATTCAACAAGAAAATATATAAAGTAATGTAAATACATACACTAACCTGAGAGGGATCAACAGAGCAGTATGGACAAAGATAATCATAAGATGACACATCTGTATTATATAACATACATTCAGTATGCTGAATAAGTGAGCAGTTTTTGCACTGGGCCATCAGCTTCTTATCAGAAGACTCGTAAGAACCTCCACAAGCACATTCAAAATAAATCTCTGACAAACTATCAAAAGTAAAATCTCTTTCTATGTGATGGCGTAATGTATTACGAGTGGATCTCTTTGATACAGAGTCAAGGAATACTGCCTGAAAAAAAGAGAAAAAAAAATGCTCACAAAGCAAAAAATTAATCATTTTTATAAATATTACAAAATGTGACAATTCCAGGAATGTCCCTTTAACAATATTTTTGCCCATTCGATGCTATACACATTTACACAACTCTTCCTTACATATATAAACATTAAAATGGCATTTTCCCCATTTCTGAGAGCAGACATGTACATATCTCCCATTCTCTTGAATATTAGTTATGTTATTTGCCCATTCAGCACAGATTCTAATTTTAAAAATAGGTAGAAATCGTAGAATGCTAATTCACGTGAATAGGCAAGATTATCTAATTGGTGAAATATTTTCGGCCAGAAATTTCACAAGGAATGCACTGTTAACTGTGTGTATGTAGTGGGGCAAAAAATTTTGCAGAAAACTTCCTCTAATTCTTCAGTTAAAATTTTAAACACTTTCTTGACAAGTATGCAATTCTTTAGCTATCAACCTCAAACTTAAATCATTCTTTAGAAAGCACTACATTACACATTCTGTTAATATCGTCTGACACATCTCCCCTATATTTGAATCTCGACTAAAACATGCTAGTTTTCAATGGCATTTTCTCCATATAAATGAACTAATGCTTCATTAATTCTTTTTTCGATTTTCATTAAAAAACTGCAAATTCAATGCTTTAAATTTTGGAATAAAAGGATAATCTCATGACATCAATGCCAAAACAAAACTACTTCAATATATTAAATTTATATTCATTAGCATAAAGTGCTCCTTTGTAGTAAAACAAGGAATTAGGTCAGAATTGAATATACACTGAAAGTAAAGGGTTGTTCTTGTGAAAAAATTTTCATAGTAATAGGAACAAGAATTAAATAAGCATGTAATTTAACAGTAAACTTTCAAAGTTTTTTCTACAGGATCAATTAAGTAAATAGCGACACATACTGCATTAAAAAAATGCATAGTCTTAGTGCATAAAATGTATGAAAATCCAAATGGCAGCTTACATTTGTATACTCATTTACTATATATTTCCCATGTACATAGCACATTGAAAAATCACTTCTTTGCTGTTACACATGATGAAAACAAAATAAGTTGGATTGTAATTTAGTGTCCACTACAACTTTTGGAGACTAATATGACTGTACAATGTTTGTCTTACAGCATTTACTTGTAATGGCAATATTCTTTGTAATTGTTCCTTAACAACTGCATTACTGAAACATAAATGCTTGTATTTGTATTTTAATTAATAATAAATGCTTGTATTTTAATTAAAATGCAAACACTTTTACTTAAAAATACCCTTTCTACAACATGTTTAGACCAGTGTATTTAAAGGAAAATTTTTACCATTACAAATGAATTAAATTTGCAAAACAATCTTTGAGCATTTATTCACAATATGCACATTTGAAAATGGCCGGTTTTAATAAGTTCAGCTGAATAAACTTAAAGGTCCTAGCAGCAGGTCTGTATAAAAATGACAAACATTTATACAATTTGAATAATATAACCGAACTTCTATAACTTATGGCTCACATATTTACATAGACATTTTCATATACACAGGCTGAAAAAGTAGATACACAGTGAAACAAAAATGCTAAGGCAGTGGCTTTGATTGTTATTTTTTAAGCCAATTTGTTTATGATGGATTTTTATCATATACAAATGTTAATGAAATTTGAAAAAATATAGATGAGAAAAGTAATATTTAAAGATGGAATCTTCTGATGTCGCAATTTTTCTGAGTGCAATATGATCCTGTTGAAAATATGGCTACGTCACAAAAGCAGAAAAGTTTTTCCTGAACCAGTCAATGCATAGAGAGGTTTCACCGACTTTTGATCAAAAATACATAGTTCAACAACATCTGAGAATCGTCCGATGATCATAAAAATACAAGTATAATTTATTTGAAAAACTGTTTACTATTGATTATCAAATTAAAACTGCTGCAAGTGAAGAATTAAAGGATTCTATTGGAAGGACAAATACAAGTAAGTAATTTTATATTTCTAAGGCTTCTAATGATTCAAGTAAACAGGCATTTATAAAAAAGAAAATTATTAGTCAAGTAATCCTTTCATAAAAAATTACAAAATAAAAGTTATTATGATGAATCATCAAATAATGAACATTTCTCTTTTTAAAAAATTAATAATGTATGTTTCTCTTTTTAAAAACTGGCAAAGGTTTTGAATTTACTGCAATTAACACTGACTTCCATGCAAACTCCTGAACACGCGACTGGTACTTCACATCTTATAAAAGCGAATTCACTATGTTTTCCAGTATCCAAATACTTTATTGCTCCTACTGAAATTACATTGGTTAATATGAGCTAAATAAAAGATTATGGTCTACGTAGAGTCAATGTTCACATATACAGTAAAAGCTTTATTATATGATTTATTTATTATGAACACCATGAAGGACCTCAGTGGCCCCAGGGAAGTAAAGCCCGAGATGACAATCATATAGCTATGCCACACACCCCCAAGTCAGTAACCTGGTTCCCATGCAGGATAACAAGTGTCCACACGAACACTGATGATGGTTGCAGCACCACAGACTGCCAGCATGGCAGCCATTGTTGTGGCTTCCCTTGACACTGCAACAAAGATGCATGCCTTCAGTGGTGCAATGGAAAATGACAGTGGACAAAAGAGTGGCACCAAGTTGTCTTTTCAGATGAATCCTAGTTCTGTATACAGCATGATGGACATATTCATGCGTGAAGACATTAAGGATAACAAACCTAACTAGCTTGCATTTATCACTGTCATTTGGCTCAGTGTCTGGCATACTGGCGTGAAATGCTGTTGGGTACACATCCCGGCCACCTCATGTCCGCATAGCCAATAATATGGATAGCAGCAGTTATATTTCTGACATCTTAAGACCTGTGACTGTATCCTACGTTCATGGCTTTCAGCAACAATATATATTTCAGAAATGGTAATGCACAACTGCATGTTGCTTTCAAGATCTCTCACCCACTGAAAACATCTCGTTCATGAGTTACGAAGACACTGGCATGCCACTATAATTGATGAACTCTGGAACAGTGTTAAGGCCCCATAAAATGATGTACCTACACATTCATCATCCAAGCTCAATTCAATGCTGGCCAGCCAGTTTACAGATGTTGCTGCCAGAGATGACAGCTCTCTATACTGAATTCTGCACACTCTCCACCCAAAATTCAATCCTGGTTTTTGCCATTACACTGATTACATGTACAATAAACATTACTCAGCTGTTTGCTTTCCTTCTAAGCATAGCAATTTTAATAACCAACAGTGTACATCAGAGTATGTTATCACTTTGCAACAGAAAGCTGTTATTGTTCTACCAGGAGGTCAGAATTCACGAAGAGGCTTTTCTCGCTGGTAAAAGCACACCTTAGTAAGTGGGGCTTTTAAATATTAAAATACACTACTGGCCATTAAAATTTCAGCACCAGGAAGGACACATCTATGGAGGGTGGCTGACATTATGGTAGGCCACAAATCACTCGGATTGCAGCTGCTGTTGAGAGGGCGGAAAATATGGTAAAGAGAGAGTATCGTCTGACTATATGAGGAAGTTGAAATCAGTAATGATTTCTGCATGCAGTTGTGCATGCTAATTTGAACATGCACAGAGTGGCTGCGAAATTTGTGCCCAAGCTGCTATTGGCAGAACAGAATGAACTTCATCTTGATGTTGCACAGGACCTAGTGGACACTGCCAGCATGTATCCTGAATTTCTGAAAACTGAAGATGAGTCATGAATATACTGGTATGACTTGGAAACAAAAGCACAGTTGTCGCAAAGGAAGCATCCTGAGTCCCCACGGCAGAAAAATTGGGCAAATGGTGTGTAGCAAAATTTAGGTTTTGTTAACTATGTTGTTTAATATCCATGGAACTGTACATCAAAAACACTCACTAAACAGTCAAATAGTGACAAAAATGTACCATCAACAAGTTATCTGCCATCTCCTTGATGCAGTTCAGTGCAAATGACCAGATGGCAAAAAACTGGCAGTTGTATCATGACAATGCTCCAGCATATTCATTACACTTGATTCAAGTTTCTTGGCGAAACACGGAATTCTTGTTGCTCACCAACCTCCCTACACTCCAGAGATAGCTCCTTTGATCCAGAGATAGCTCCAGAGATTTTTCACATATACGGTATTCACATATACAGTTGTTTCCAGAATTGAAGATGACATTTAAAGGATCCCATTTCAAGAGTAGAGAAGAGATAAAGCTGAATGCGACAGCAGACATGAACACCATTCAAAAGAAGTCTTCCAGAAGTGTTTTCGGCAGTGGAAGAAATGGATGGGCTAAGTGTATGAAGGCGCAACGGGCTTAATATGAAGGGGATTAGGATCATAATCCAGTCGCATAAATAATATATTTTTACCAACAGAAGGTCAGATAAATTTTAGACAGCCCTTCCATCGCACTGTTTGATAACGATGGAGATGTATTAATAGAATTATGAGTTCTGCAAGTAATACAAATCTGCCATTTGCTAAATTTTGGGGGAACAAAAATTTTTCTAAAATTCTACAATATTTCAGTTATTTGAGCTTTCTGGATAGTCGAATGCAAGACAGTTGGGCTTTTACTGTAGTTTTAAATTATAGCTGAATAATAATATTCAAAACAATCACACAGCAAACCTCAGTATAACAAAGAAACACTGCATTATTTTGCTACTCTTTTCATGCATACTTTTATTATTAATAATGTACAAAAATATAAACTATAATACAACAGTAAACTGTAAATTTCAGATATCACACTAAATAAACAAACACAAACCAAATTTGCTTCTAGCCTGGCATCAGGTATGGGATGCTTTAAAATGAGAGCAAGTATTTCTATTGTTTTCCCTAGTCCCATTTCATCAGCTAAAATACCACCCAATGGCTTCCCAGTAGTGTATTCTTCTTTCACAAAGCTGCGAAGGAAAATTAATGATTTTAAATAACTTCAATCAGAAAGGAAAAAAATCAATGCAACATGTTTTACAGAACTTCATAATGCAATGGATATATATACATTTTCATTTCACACATACGAGCTCATGCAGACTCTATCAACCCTCATGTGAAATTCAAATTCTGGGGAAACTAATCTTACCAAAAATTTTCAACTTATCGTTATCTAAGTTTCATATATACATCCACTATTCTTTTTTCAATTACTCATTCTGCACAAAGCCTTGCAAACCTGCAGGATACACTGCAGTTTTCACTGTTTTTCTCATGTGCAATGTGAATACAAGTCAATTTTCCATAAAAAGTCTCTCCACAAAGGCATCGTTCTCCTTAGACAGAAAGCAGTAGTGTGCTTTGGGTTCTTCAAATCACACAAATTATTACAGAACTATAACAAGCAGAATATTACTGAACTACAACAAATCAAATAACCTAACCATTCCTTACAGAAGAATTTGCCTGTTTGGGATCCCTCGTGACATATACGTCTCTGTGTTACGAAAATACTAATACTTACCAATTTAAGTTTGAGCTCGCGTCGACCACTGTTTTGCTTTTTGCTGAATTCTGAAACATACTATTCAGATTGTTCAAAAATTTGCTTTAAAATAATATTTGTCAGTCACTTATACAGATATTACGCAGATTTAATAAGGAAAAAATGGGAAGGTCACAGGCTCTTTCAGCAAAACTGAAACTAATAAAGTAAACTTATTTGAGGAAGTATGAAAAATTCAGCAATAATTTGCTGCAATCATATTATAGTTCCTCAAGAAGATAAGGATTAAGAAAAAATGAAAAAAGTAATTCAATAAATTTCTCTTGGAATGAAATCAGATAGGTTTAGACAGAACATTAAAACGGAAGCACAGAATATTAATTTACATTTATTGGAATCTAAAGAACAAATGACAACTGCAAAAAGTGTGCTTGCTTTGCATTTTTAGTTTTGATAGTTCTGCACTAAAATTTTATAAAATTGCATAAAGCTATAGATCCAATGAAGGCATTGAAGTTAATTGTTGAAATGATTCAGATCCCACCAGGTAATAAAATCACGGAACACTTCTAAATCTGACCCAGCTCAAATCCCCAGTGAGAGACCTAGCAACATGGGAATTCCCCCCACACACACACACATGGGTATTGTGGATACGAGACACAAAAGTATATACAGTACAAAGTCTTTAATCCGGACATCCATAATCAGGAATGATCTATAATCCGGACCTCGAAGCTACAAACTTTCTGCGCATGCGTAGTGTTTACTCATGCACATAATACTTTTACGCATTCACATAATATGGTTACGCATGCGCGTTTAATGTATAACGGGATGGTATAAGCTAGGCTAAAATTATCTAATTATCTATTTCAGTTAATGTTGCAGATTGCATTGTTCCTTAATCTTCTAATTGGTTCCAGCTTATTATTTTTTTGCAGACTGTTAGAGCAATTTTATAAAAAGTAAGCTTGAACTTTCGATTATGTCAAAAAGAGTTTAGGATTATTCAATTATGGCAAAGCACACTAGGGCTATCTGCCCAAAAGGGAGGGATGCCTTAGTGAAGGACTTCCTAAGGGAAACTGGCTTGTATACACGTTACACATGGGGAAAACCACGAAAACACCCATGCAGCCACCCCATTCGCGGGAGTCAAACCTCAGACTAAACTACCAGTGTTCAGAGTCTTTACCACTCGGCCGCTGGTGGGCCAACAAATTTCTCGGCACAGCAATTACAGGACTTAAACAGCAGAAATTTGTAACTGAACAAGAAAATTATGTCTGTTTATAGAATTAAAGAGAAAGTATTAGCACATAAAACGAATCAACTTAAACAACTTACATTGAAAGAAATGTTTAACAAAGTAAACAAATAAATATTAAGCTTTTTTTGTAAATTTTGATACCCTTTAGATCACAATTGCTCTTTATTTCATAAATTACGGTTTCATATTTTTAATTTTATAATTTCTGCATGCCATCTTACCAGATTTAAATTTATGATCTATAATCCGGGATTGCCGAAGTCCCGACGAGTCCGTATTAAAGACTTTGTACTGTAGCTCTCTCCTTGGCAGATACATTATGTGAATCAGCATAATCGAAATTAAGAAACATTATCCCAATATAAAATGATGTTGTTCGAATTTATACTATATTCGGATTAGTTTGTGTGCTATTTGATCAAAGAAAGGTGATACTTTGCCACCATAAATTACAGCATACACACTGCAACAGACTTTCAATGAGTTTATGAAGTCTCCACACTTATTTTGACAATAGCAGCAACATAAATGATTCTCTAAAGCTTTTGATGGGTGAAGGAAATGTCGAATCATTCATAAAGGTCCTTCTCTAGTGTACCCCACATAAACTCAAGGGGAGTGCGATCAGAACTTCATGACAGGCAACCTGTGCATATGTCTCAGGCTCAACAAATCTATCACAATTCAAGCTTAACAGTACTTGGTATTATCATCCTACCTGTAATTTACACTACCATCAGGATAGAAAGAGGTCATTCACTAGATTCAGATTACCAACTGACTTCTCTTCATGCACAGCATTACTGAACTAGGTTTAACCAAATAGAAATAAAGCCTAAATCATAGATCCCACCAAATGTCCTCACATTCATAAAGTAAGTATGCTATCTTTTTGGGTTAAACAGTTTCTTCAAGCCATTTTAGGTAACCCCGTAAAGCTGCAATTTAAAATAAATTTAGCTTCAGATTACTATATATTGCACAGTGAGAAAATACAAATTATAACGAAATATATTAGATTATTTTAATAAACTCTAAAATTAAATTTAAAGTTTTACTATTATTTTAACATTAATGAATCGGGCTAAAATTACAATATGAATGAATGTTTATACACATGTTTAATTCCATCGAATTTGATATTAAAAAAATTAACTCATGTTAGAAACAAGTATATGTTTCAGTTCAATATGAAAACAATCTAGTATCAAAAACAAAAATTTTCATTAGAAAAGTATGCATCTCTTTCCTTGGCAGATACCATTATGTGCATCAACACAATCCAAATTAAGAAATGCGATCTCAATATAGATTATATTGTTCCAATTTATACTTTGATTAGTTTGCATGCTATTTAATCAAAAAAGGTTACACTGTTTCGCTGAGCCACCATAAATTATACCATAAACATACTGCAGCAGACTTTCAAGGAGCTTACGAAGACTCCACACTTATTTTGACAGCAGCATCAATCAATCTCATAACCATGCTCATATATTTCACTAAACTGGACTAAAATAAAACGCTACCTGTCCTAAAAAGAAAACTTTGCCAATTTAGAAAGACTACAGAACATTAAATACTATAACCTGGTCCATCATCAAACATCAAGCTGCGAGAAATTTCAGCCATTAAAAAATAGCAGTTACCTTAAAACTACAGCTGACGTTAAAAACGTGTGAAAGAATGGAAAATACGGTATTGGCGAGCATAATTTTGAATAGCTGCACTGCTCTACATATACTTCCCAGTACATCTATAGAATGCTTAAATACAGAGTTGAGATTCTTCATCCATATAAAATTATTCAGGATCGTAATGACCGATAATGCTCATCCCTATCATATTACATTAGTGATCGACCAGAGACCAATGGATGGAGTGGTCTGCATATTTTCAGGATTTAAATTGGAAAGAACATGCATGGGATGTATCACGATTTGCATTGCTGCAACCCCCACCTAACACTTTACCAAAGCTTCACGGCACTATTAATCACAAATACGCTTTATTATCAGAGGAACTACCTGACAATCTAATGGACAACATGGAAAATAACAATAAAGCTTGCATTTCAGTCAGGGTTGACCACATGCCACATTAATTTTTTCATTGCATGTCCAGAATGTTGTAACAGCAAATTTTCCCTGCCTACTTTCTATGACAGTTCATACGTTCTTATTTCATTTTTGGGGAAGCAGAAATTCTTTTTGCAAAATTCTGCATTCTGAAGAAGTGTCGGGCATAATAAAATAAAGATCTTGCACAAATTCTATGTTCTTAGTCAAACAATTATTCAAGTTATCTTGAGTTTTAATATTTTCTTTTAATTATTCACACCAATGTATTTATAATAATTATATATATCACCAATATAAAAATCACATAGCGTACAAATATATACAGATGAAATCTTAAGAAATTTAATGTATTACTGAAGATGAATAAATATTAATCTATTGTGGGTCATCTATTATAATGTGGGCAAATATAATAATTTACTGCTATAAAATCTATAATAAAAAGTTTAAAATTTGCATGTTAGAACACAAACACTAGCAGAAAGCATAAACAGCAGATGCTGTAACAAATTTCTGTTTACACACACCACAGACGCAGTAAAAAATCATAATTCAGTTCATGCTGTGTATGTCCTGCTAGTATTGACATATGCTGAAGTTTCGCGAGCACTTCTTTTGCGTGTCATCTGAAACCCAGACTGGTTCAACAAATTAAATACTACAAAGAGTATTAATGTATTAACCACCACCTTGCTTTATTTTATTTTGGCAATTTTTTACAGATGAAAAAGTAATAGTTATTCATCAGGTTCATGTTGGTGGCTTTCATGGCATTTTTTAAAGATTCCCAAATTTAAAATTAGGCAAAATAATAACCTTGTGTATGGTGTAGATTTTAACTGAAACTCTATTAATTTCAAGAGCAGATCATGAGCAGAGATCTTCTGCTTCTGACAAAGGAGGACCTGTATCTTTTGCACTCAAAATCGATAGTGTTTGAATCAACGCCAAACACAAAGTTGTCGTTTTGCCTAATTTTAAGTTTTACTCTGTTTTATTTCTTTTCTTTCTTAATTACCAAACTACTGATATTTATCGTAAGCTGGCAAATATTATCAACATATGGAAAGAAAACATACTTTAGCAATTTAAAAAATAAATTTTAATTATTAAATAATGTTGATACATGATACATTTAAAAAATAAAACACAAATATCCAAATCTTTCTGTAATATTTTTGGTACTTACATATTAATTACCTTGGAGAAATTTGACAATTTTTTTTTCAGTTAAAAACTAAAAGCTACTCACTCATCGGGTGCAATTTGGCAGTTTTGGGTATTTATTTTAAAGATTCCCAAACTATCAATATTTATAGTTGGCAAACCTTACAAACATATGAAAAGAAAACATTTTAGCAATTTAAAATTCAAACTTCAATTACTAAATATATCACATTGTAAATTATGTGATATATTAAAACAAATAATACAATTACATTCTTCTCAAAACCCTTCTGTATTTTTTTTTTAATTCTTCTCCCCAAGTACACAGTGAACTGTTTTCACTTAAAAACAAAAAAGCAGAGAATTGCAGTCTTCTCATTGCGAAAACCTTGGCAAGATGGCCTAGCTACCAAATGTATCTCGTCATTGTTCCTTTTAGATATTTTGCAGCAAAATTCAGTATTCCTGCTAAAATTTTAACACATTTTCTTCCACTTCTAGCCAATTCCACAAGCGTTTATTTTAAAATTAAGTTTAAGGCTTAGTGGATATACTAATCAGCTCATGATTTGTTATTTAGACTAATTAACAATCTTCTGAGCAGAATATATTCAACACATTACATTCATACATGCAGGCTATCATGAATGAAGCTTTTTCTTCTCCTTTTAGAACACAGAAGCATTTTTAAGAAATAGCTGCCTGCCTATCAGCCAGCCTCAAATGACTTCTATATGATCGCTGCTTCATACTCAAGATAATAAGCTATCTTTTTTCCTATTTATTATTTTATGTTTTTTTCCCTCCTAGTCATTCAACTGGAATCTTTGAAACAGCATTTCTGAAATTCTGCTAAGCTGTAAAATACTCTTACAGTACCAAACTACTTATATTTCAGATTCTTATCTACGATTCTGAAACTAATATTTTCTCATAATATCTTTCTACACAAGCAGACTCAGCTTTATTTTCTCAAAAGCGGCAAACAGTCTAAGTTGAAAGCAACTGCTTGTGAAGATTAACTTAGCTTTATTAGACATGCACTGATATAAATTTATCATTTCATAAAAATTTTCTTTTCGTTGCAAATTACACATTAAGAAGCAAAAGAATTTTATTCATTAGAAAAGATTCTGAATTAAATATGAAAGCTTGCATGTATGAAGACATAAACTGGATCCTCTTTAAATTTGTTTCATTTTTTTTTTTTAATTTGGGAATTTAACTCATCAAAAAAATATTCACAGCATGAATATGAAACATCCAGTAAAATACTTACAATCCACCATATTTTTGGTAATATAATTTTGCATTTTCTTTGAGTTCAAGTTCTGTATAAAGTGGATGAATTTCTGTATGAACTATTTCTTCTTCTTGTCTAAGCATCCAATGCACAGCTTGGCTCTGGTAGTGTCTTAACCTTGGAATTAAATATTGACTAAAAATCTGCAATTCATTTTTAGGATCAAAGGAGTTCTGAATATTATCCAAAATTTTCAGAGCACTTTGTTTAAGACACAAACGGTCTTCAAGCTCTGAAAAATACAGAAAAACATATAAATATTACAAAAGGAAGATATGCATCTACATCAAATAGTTAAATTCAGTTTTTTAAAGATACCAATATTATACAGGTGAACAAAATTAAAACAAGAACAGAAATTTTAATGCTAGAAGAATGCATCCATAAATTAGGGCAATGTGGTAGAGGGCAAAAAGAAATTACCTATGAGTGCAAGTTAATTCCATCACTCAATCTAAAGTGATCATGATGAACACAAGCGAATAATATACACTGTCACAAAAAATATATGCACCCAGAAAAAAATCGAGCCACAATCACGAAACTCGGCAGGAATGTAGTCTGGTAAGATATGCCAATAAGACAAGGGTAAGTGCATATGACTATGCGCATATGAGATGCAAAGTTGGAAGAGTTTAAAAGCTTGATTGTTCGTGCCACATAGCTATTTAAACGAATCTTTCGACTTGGATGGACGGTATTGTGACTAGAGATGCCTCCAAGACATAACTGGCGGCAATACAAACAGTTGTTGGACTTTGAGAAGTGGCATATAATAGGCCTCAGAGAAGCAGGTAGGTTGAACAGGTGTATTGGCTGCCCCTTTGATTGGAGCGACAACACCGAACATGAATCACGGAAGGGATAGTCTACCGTCGTGCAAGGTCAGGGCATCCCAGAAACACAAATGAGTACGAGGATCCAGCAACAGCAACTTCTGCACCAAAAATATAGCTAGCATCGATTTGACGCCATTTACCACCTTCCAAGCATCCAGTAGTTTCGCGGGAGACCATTCGGAGACGAATGGCTGATGTTAGTACAGTCAAAAGTCATTAATTCGGAAACCCATAATCTGGAATAATCTATAATCTGGATCTCAAAGCTAAAAACTTTCTGCGCATGCGGCGCATTGACACATGCGCATAGGCGTTTACGCGTGCGCGTAAGACCTTTTACGTCTGCGCATATGCGTGTGCGCAAGTGCAGAATACGTTTTTGCGTGCGCGTTTTATGTATAATGGACTAAAGCTAAAATTATCTAATTATCTATTTCAGTTAATGTTGATGATTGCGTTGTTCCTTAATTTTCGAATTGGATCCAGCATATTATTTTTTGCAGACTGTAAGAGTAATACTATAAAAGTAAACTTGAACTTTCGATTATGTCAAATAGAATTTCCGATTCTGGAGCTCCAAAAGAATCGTACAAAACGAAAGTATGTTTCGATGTCCATCAAACAAAAAGTGGAATTGCTGCAAAAAATGGATAAAGACATGAAGAATGTGACAGAGAGGTTAGTGAAAATGAAAAAATTTCAATTGACAAGTTAGTCGGTATTCTCGGCACAGCAATTAACGGGACTTGAACAGCGAAACTTTGTAACTGAACAAGAAATTATGTCTGTTTATAGAATTAAAGAGAAAGTATTATCACATAAAACGAAGCAACTTAAACAACTTACATTGAAAGAAATGTTTAATAAAGTAAACAAATAAATATTAAGCTTTATTTTTTTGGTAAATTTTGATACCCTTTAGATCATAATTGTTCTTTATTTCATAAATTACGGTTTCATATTTTTAATTTTAGAATTTCTGCATGCCATCTTACGAGATTTAAACTGATGATCTATAATCCGGAATCGCCGAAGTCCAGACGAGTCCGGATTAACGACTTTTGACTGTATATGCTGTCGACGTCCATTAAGATGCCTACCTCTGACCCCATACCGTTGGCAATGCCAAATAGAATTTTGCCAAACTCGGGCAAGCTGGAGCGTGACCAACTGCATGCATGCGATCTTCAGCAATGAATCCTCATTAAGTCTCAGTGCTGATGACTAATACACAAGCATGTGGAGGTGGCCAGGCCAGCGGTTTAATCAAGCATTTGCTATAGAGGCATACAGTGATTACACAAGGTGTGACAGTGCAGGGAGCAATTTGTTGGGGCACATGATCACCTCTAATTGTCCTTCAAGGCACTATGACAGCTCATAGTTACATGGATGACATTTTAACGCTGGTTGTACTGCCTATGCTAATGAAGTCACCCAGGTGGCATTTATTAGCACAACAATGCTCATCTATATACTGCTCTCCCAACAATTTCTTCAAGGAATGACATACTTCCATGGCCTGCCAGGTCACCGGACCTTTTGCGAATAGAGTTTGTTTGGGACTTGCTTGGAAGGCAACTGCAGCCCTCCTAGAATATTGGTGAATTAATTGCCCAGTTGCAAAGATTATGACATGATCTTCCACAAGTGGGGTCATAAGTGACCTATTTTATTTGATACGATGCTGTGTTTCGGCTTGTACAGCAGCCAGAGGTGGCTATATTACTTACTGATTCGTAACCTTTTTCATGCCACAACTTCTTAATAAAGTGATGTTTTGCTCTGATTTGTAATCATTTATCTCCTCATACATTTCAGATATATATTAACAGGATTCGTAGCCACATTTTAGTTTAAAAAAATAGGCCCTTGTCAGGCACATTTTAAGGGGAAAATAAACACCTGTCTTATTACATTATACACAACTGCACAACCTTAAAAGAAAAAATAGACTTGTAATTTAAAATACGAGAAATTCAGTATTTATTAAGAGAGAATGAGCATCACTCAACCATGGAAAACAATTACACTTTTTTTTAATTTTAAATAACAGTTCAATTTACAGAATTAGATTACAATGAGAGGAAAAAAACTATGCAGAACTAAATTATATTACAAGATTTAATGATGAAATTTCAGTTCAAAATAGAGAAAATAAATAATAATAATAAGCCATCTTTCCTATATTCGCTTGGGACCTCAAAAGAGATAAAATTTATTTTTCCACTGATATCAATATTTAAATAATTTAACTTTAATAAAAATTCTGAACATTTTCTAAATTTTCATTGTATAACAGTTTTCCCTTAACATATATAGCAAGCAAAGTAATTTAGGTAAAAATAAGTTAAAAAAAGTAACTTTTCTGAAATCAGAAGACGAGAAATTGCTTCATGGAGTCATCCTTTAACAGTAAAAGCTTAACTAACTGGCATACTCCGAAATTGCTGAATATCTGAAAATTTCGGATAATCAAGCGTAACTGGTAAAAGAGGAATGGGATGGCTGTTCTTTATATTTTTCAGCTAAATGATGCTTTTGATATTTCGATATGTGCATCATATAAAATAATAGCCCAATGGAACTGAAAAATAATTTGCTTAGCAAGCACAGTAAAACTCTTATCTCTGCAAAATATCGCGAACGTTATTGTGCAATACGTGCGCCTTAATTCTCCTGCACGTGACATTACACAATTGGAATCAACAGCTGCTAGTATTTGGAGTATAGATAAGGAAGGGCGTTTAAAAGAAAACGCCCCTTTGCTTCGTACGGTTTTCACCGTCATGCACCCATGTGGCATATTTCTCATTGAGCATTACACGTCGTGATACTCATATTAATTAATAGATATTTACCAATCTGAGATGTTTTCTATTCTAATTTTGAACAGACTGCGTTAAATTTCCGGAATAGAATCGTTCTTCGCTTGGTTTGGTAGACCGCAGAACTTTTAGTCTTATTCAATCCAGGTTGGAAAGTGACCAAAAAAAAAGTCCGTTGCTTGCTTTGCTGCGAACTGCAACGGTTTCAATATTCGAGGTTTTGCGGAGAAGGAGAGAACCTCCAAATTCCATATTGTATAATGCATTGGCCAAAAAAAAAAAGAAAAGATATTATTTTGACTATTTAATTACTTTCCCTTTATTTATGACATTCCGAATATTATTCCTTAGAAAACTTAATCTGTGTTAAAACACACTTACCCGTTTTTGAAGTTTATCTATACTTCAGAAGTTACTGCAAATATATTATTATAAATATTCATACATATGCTCCTAATATAAGCATGCTGATCATAATAAACGCGAATATGAACTTACCACGCGGAACGAGAATGTAAATTGTTAAAAATCTTGAAATTCAAACGTGTGTAATATTGGGTGAGAGCAAAAGAATACGGAATGTTCGGGAATTTTCTACCGCTTTCGCAATTCTTTGATCAATAGAACCTGCACCTGTCTGTACTCACACGCACAAAGGTTAGTTAATGCAGAGAAAGAGAAAAAGCTTTTCTGGGAGTATGATTCACCATATGAAAAGTTGTTTATTTAGTTTCGGCTTAGGTACGGGGGGGGGAATGTGTGTTCATTAAAAAAAAAGCACTAAAAGCAAAAAATAAGCCCTAAAAACCAAAAAGTAAGCACCTATCAGGGCTTTTAGATTTTATTTTCAAATATAAAGACTTATAAGCACTTGTAAGGACCACTATGAAACTACTTGTGACAGTACTTTGTTTCCTTCAGGTTGAATTTATAATATAATAAAGGTTCTTAAAACAAAATTATGACTCGAGAAAATTATTCAGGAGATTCCTTCAGAGTTGTAGGAAGATTAGAAGCAAAACAATTACTTGATAATAGGTATAGATATATGATTGGATTATTTGTTTAAAGCAAAGCACATTAGAGAAGAACTCTAAACTCTCTTCATTTTTTAACGGAAAATGGCTGCACTTTTATATTATATGTTATGAAAACCCATATACTGAAATTTTTTCGCCACTTGCTACTTCAGAAAACCATTCCAAGATAAAGAGACATTTTGTGAAGATCCAAGGACATCACAACAATGTTTCTAATCAGCAATATTTTTATTCTGCAAGGAAGAATAATACAATCCACAGTATTACAATATCAGAGGATCCCTTCATCCAATGCATATGTTATATACCAAGATGAGGAATCCTAAGCACTAAACAACAATTATCTTTACATTAACTTATAAACCAACCAGACTCAAGCTGATCAGATCACTAAATACTTGAAGTTTGATTTTGCTTTGAATCCTGACAAAAAGAAATGTATAACATTTTTATGGTTTTTCTGGTGTAGTTCCATTTCTCTCAAAAAGTTCTTCGCAAAAGCATATGTCTTCTATGAAGTAGAAT